GAGACTCTTGTCTAAAAAAATAAATGAACTGGCTTGGGGAGAGGGCTCAGTGGGTAAGATATGCTTGCCGTATAAGTGTGAGGACCCATGTCTGGATCCCTAGAAATCACATAACCCTGGGAGAGTTCATAGGAAACAAGACAGAGACTCTGTTCTAAAAGTGGGGTGGGGGGGCCCATACCCCAGGCTATCCTCTGACTTCTCCATGTTTACATGCTTATAAGGGCCACTCTAATTCAAACACCAGTGTGTGTGTGTGTGTGTGTGTGTGTGTGTGTTTGGTAATTTCATACATGAATACACTCCCCATTCCAATTCCAAATTGGAATTCCTTCTCACAAGTTCATTTCTTCCTCTTCCCCTCCTCCTCTTCCTCTTCTCTCCCACTGCCCTTCGCCTGAACCTCCACGCAATGGTCATACTGCTTTTAGTATAGTGCATATACACGACAGATCATGCTACAGAATACAGATCACGCCATTTTAGTGTTTAAAGTAGACCAATGACTCCCTACTGTGTATAAAATGATGATCCCAAATCCTTAATTCACCTCTTTCAATTCCATACCAGAAGCACATCTTCTGCTTAAAATCATCTGAGTGAAAGCCGGACGGTGGTGGTGCACGCCTTTAATCTCAGCAACTGGGAGGCAGAGGCAGGTGGATGTCTGTGAGTTCTGGGCCAGCCTGGTCTACAGACTGAGTTCCAGGACAGACAGGGCTACACAGAGGAACACTGTCTCGAAAAACAAACAAACAAACAATAAATAAATATATAATGAAAGAATGGCCCTCATAAACATCGTATGTTTAACACTTGGTCAGCAATTGATGGAACTGTTTGGGAAGAATTAAAAGGTGTGTCCTTGTTGGAGGAGATTTGTCACGGGAATGAGCTTCGAGGTTTCAAAAGACTAGTACTATTCCCAGTGAGATGTGGATGCTCAGCTGTTCTGGTCGCCATATTTTTGCTCCACTATCATGGACTGTAATCTTCTGGAGCCATGAATACAATTGAATGCTTTCTTTTATAATTTGCCTTGGAGCTGGGTGGTGGTGGCACATGTCCTTAATCCCAGCACTCGGAAGGCAGAGGCAAATGGATCTCTGTGAGTTTGAGGCCAGCCTGAGCTCCAGAGTGAGTTTCATCACCAAAACTACACAGCAAAACCCAGTCTTTTTTTTTTTTTTTTTTTTTTTTTTTTCGAGACAGGGTTTCTTTTAGTAGCTTTGCGCTTTCCCTGGAACTCACTTGGTAGCCCAGGCTAGCCTCGAACTCACA